GGGCGGGACCCGGGCATAGGCGCTGCCGCTGCTGCTAATCCCAGAGCAGGTGATCCGGACGGTTTCTCCCGGGTTCGCTGACACGGAGGGCGGCTGAGTCAGCGCTGCCTGGACCAGGGAACCTGGAGAGGGAGAGGAGAGAGGGGAGAAGATGGGGGTCAGCCCGTGCCCCACCAGCACAGCCCTCCGCAGCCAGCGGGCCGGGGCCCCTGTGCCCAAAGCCCGTGATAGCAATGAGGAAAGTAGAGACCAGCACACCGAGCCCAAGGCCAGAGCCCAGGGACCCTGCACACAGAATGGGCAGCACCAGCAGGAAGCAGCAGTGGAGCTGGGAACAAAGCAATGCCAGGCTTGTGTAGGGACAGGCACGAGTTGCCCAGTGCCTCAGAGTCACCTCCAGCACAATGACATACAACTGCAAAGACATGTAGAGCCATGGCAGTACGGAGGCGACACAAACCTGCCCCAGCCCCACAGCCCTGTTCAGGCATGAAGGAGAAGGGGAGAAACCCCCCATTTTGAACTTCTCTGTAGCTCATTTCCACATGTCTGCCACAACGACAGCATCACCACTGCTGTCCAAGCTACCACAGTAATAGACAGCCTCGTCCTCGGCTTGGACCCCAGTGATGGTTAACGTGCCCGTGGTGCCAGACGCAGAACCGGAGAATCGCGAAGGGATGCCCGAGGGGCTCGGGAACCTGGAGAGGGAGAGGAGAGAGGGGAGAAGATGGGGGTCAGCCCCTGCCCCACCAGCACAGCCCTCCCCGGCCAGCGGGACGGGGACCCTGTGCCCAAAGGCCCCAATGCCAGGCGCAGCGAGTCTGGCCAGGGCACCTGAGCTGTGGGCGAGCACCGCGAGGAGGAGAGGGGCCCAGGCCATGGCGCGATCCCACCAGCTCCGCGTCCCCACGACGATGGGGCTCTGTCGCTGACCCCGACTCCCTTTTAAGCCCCTGCCTGCCTGGGTCACCACCCCTCCATGGAAACTGGCCCCAATGTTCACTGCCAGCTCCTTTCCAAGTGCTCCCTCTGCCCACTGCAGGCTCTTCTCTGCACACAACCACTCCCCCTGCCAAGGCACCAAGATCCAGGCCCTGGTTCACACTGGGGCACCACAGCCAGGTTTCCCTGAGGGGCCAGTAGACTCTGACCAGCTGCCTCCAGCCATCCGGGCAAGCGCTTCTTGACTTGGGTTTCTGTAAATACAACCTCAGCCTAGAGATGTGCCCAGGGATAGCAGAAACACTCATCTGTCCTGTCTTGCTGGAGCATCCTCTGCAGCCACCTTAGCCCACCCTTACAGCATCCCCCCGCAGTAACACAGCCTCTCCAGCTGCGCTCCCCTTCCCCTCTCACCCTGGGCACTTCTCCGTGGGGCTCTGCCTACATGGCCAGCTCCACACAAGCCCACAGCGCACCCGCCACTGGAGGCTGCTGCTCCCAGAGCTCCTGCACCAGGGTCCAGGGTTGCTCTGGCAGCACAGAGGCTTCCGCTTCTCAGCAGCGCCATGGGGACAAGGAGAAGCACCCCACCCTCTCCTACCTCCAGAGCATGAGGGCAAACACCTGGCCTGCCCAGGCCCACGCAGGGCTCTCCACACCACCCTCCTCAGACTTGCCTCTGCCTTTCCATGCTGCTCCAAGCAGGAGGTGGGATGGGTCTGCCAAACTAGTTAGAATCCTTGGGCATTGCTAACAGATCCCAAAATGTTTTAGGGCTGCATCTCAGGCAGCAAAGAGCAGCTTCCTCTCAGCCCTCAGAGCACCCTTGCACCAAGTTGCAGCCCCCCCTTCACCTTCTAGAAGCATAATGAATAGGGTCCAGCCACACAAAGACAGGGATTTATTATTCTATATTCGTTCTACAGAAGAGGGCCAATGCCAAGCTACCACCACCCTCTGCAACTCCCTTAGGCCAGGAACACAGCAGCTCCTTCCTTAAAAACGGGATATTTTCTACGGGCCTCTTAACCCGCAGTTTCTTCTGCTTCAACTTCTGGTCGGGAACCCGGATTAACGTGGTGGGTTGTTGTTGGGTTTTTTTGTCTGGTTGGTTTTTTACAAGCTCACAAGCAATGGAGTGTGGCTGCTTTACCGTCCAACATGCCGCAGCAGCACCCCCCTGTGGCCTGCCCCCACTTCGACTTAACTAGAAAGAGGAGTGAAAGGCAGTGAGAGATCAACAATCAGGTTTGAACATGATTCAGTACTTCTTGAACTCAATTCTTTCTACTTTCACATCATCCTCAATTAGTTGGTATACATAAGTCACAACTGTGGAAGCCTGGATATCCATCAGAACAAAAGAAGGGATGATGTTCCTGGAAAGAAAATATACTTTGTCAATCTTCCCAATTAACTTACACTTCTTGCTATTAACACACCTTATGCTTTTATATTCTAATATGTTTGGCTGCCAAGGGCTGCAGGGATCTGGGAAACTGCAGTTTGCAGGCACTGAGAACAGCATCTCAGGCAGAGCTGCACTTCACCTGGAACAGCCCTCGAGGCTACGGAACAGCCGAAGCCGCACCAGGCTCAAATATTTAAGTTGGCAGTGCCTTCAGAAGTCTCTTTTCCTACAAACTATTAGCATGCAGCTTCTGGGAAGACACCAGAAGGCAAAACGACTTCAAGAAGCTGCTGCAACTCAGCGTTCTGCAGGCACAGGAAGCAGCCCCAGACACACCAGTGTCTGGCTGTCAACCCCAACACATGG